TTAAAAATAAAATAAAGCAATGTCCTTTGCAAAGGAAAAAAAGGACAAGCGTCTTGAACTAATGAATGTATTTACTGGGCTCATTGTTTCTATGAGCAAGGTTAAAGAACCTCTAAAAGTATTTACAAGTGGTTAGCTCCTTTGCATGCATGCTGTCATTAGTGAAAAATAGAAACGGTTTATGTCAGTGCATTCTGTAACAAATCCGTTTACTGGATCCCCAAAAAAAATGGTTTTATGCAGTGCTTTTTAAATAATTAATTTTAATCTCCCTACAGCTTTACTGTGCATCTCAAGTACAACAAAGGTATCAGTAAGAAAAAAATAAATATAAGTATATATATATATATATATATATATATATATAAATATATATATATATATATATATATATATACACATATATAAATAACAGTCTGGGTTCACACTGCAGGCAGATGCAGCCCAATACTGATTTTTATGTATGTTTGTTTTTTTTTGCCCATATGCAACTCATATCAGTCTGAACGAGACAAATCCAAAATTTCCAAATCCGACCCAGGTCTTTTCATTAGTGCTACTGAATCAGATACATATTCAATGATTTTCAAAGTGACTGCAGTCTGAACAGTCATGTCTCATTTCCTCCAGCTTGTACATCAGTGAGGTATGGGGGATGTGGATCGATCCACATATTAATAATATTGACGTCACCTTTGTGCAGTTTAAATCTTGGAACTCTGCATTTCTTCAGCTACAGAACAAAAGTGAATTTGCATTGTCTTTATACTTTTAATGTACTATTTCCTGGATGATTAAGAATCTACAGCAACATACTACATGATGCCAGCCTTAGCATCAGATCATATCAATACTAATGTGATGTGACCAATACTGGAATTTGTTTTTACATTCATAAATCGCTCCCATTCAAGAAATACAAAGGTGTTGAGGGGGAGCTGTTCAGACTGGATTAAATCTAAACACTGGGCCAGACAAGCATGTTTGATCATTTAATTGGTCCTTATTGCACAACAACTTCAGAATTACACATGCTAACATGTGTAGAATTCAATTCATTTATTTATATATCACCAAGTCACAACATAAGTTGTCTCAGGACACTAAATAGAAACATTCACATACAGAAAAAAACATTAGTAAAAGTTTTCTGTCTAAGGAAGCCAGCAGATTGTGTTGAATCTTCACTTTATCACAGCCTCCCAATCTGAGCAAGCAGAATGGTGACAGTGGAAATAAAAAAAATAAAAAAACTCCCTTTTAACAGAAATACACCTCCAGCAGAAGCAGGCTCAGGTCTAGCTGCCATCTGTTTCGACTGGCTGGGTTTGAGAGGAACAGGAAGGAGACACAAGGACCACAGAATGGCAGGTCCAGATGTACTCATATTAATTTGTACTTGATTAAAAAACACGAGTGTGCTGCGTGTGGTGTCACATTTTCTTCTGCACATGTGGCTCACCTCTGTACTGTAAACAGTTGACATGGAGTCTGATGGATGTTTGCATTTTAATGATAAATATGAACGGCCACGCATAAAAATTAAATGTGAGCAAAACATTTGAATTGGGCATAAAAACCTGAGGTGCCAACATAACCTTAGTCAAACCAAAGCCTGAGGATGAAGATTCACCCTATAAAATATGTGGTTGCACGATTATGGTCAGTTGAGAAGATTCAAGTTATGTGAGGAAAATGCATGGAAGTCCCCACGTTGTCACAGATTGCTAATTTGTTACGTTCATCAGCACTGGATGACCATTTAGCCACATTTCTTTATTTCACTTTTCAGTTTCTTTCTTTATGATTGTGCAACTTGTTTATATATGTATTATTTGCTTTTAGTCACCATTTAGCAAGATTAACATCCATCCATCCATCCATCCATTTTCTTTACCCGTTTGTTCCATTTTGGGTCACGGGGGTCGCTGGTGCCCATGTCCAGCAATCACTGTGCGAGGGGCGGGGTACACCCTGGACGGGTCGCAAGTCCATCACAGGGCCACATAGAGACAAACGAGACAAACAACCATTCACACTCTCACTCACACCTAGGGACAATTTAGAGTTACCAATCAGCCTAACATGCATGTTTTTGGTCTGTGGGAGGAAACCGGAGCACCCGGAGAAAACCCACGCATGCACGGAGAGAACATGCAAACTCCACCCAGAAGGGCCCCTGGACCGGGGTTTGAACCAGGGACCTTCTCACTGAGAGGCAGCAGCTCTACCAGTTGTGCCACCGTGCTGCCCCATGATTAACATATTAAACATAATTGGCCAGCTAAATAACATGTTTTGGATTAATTTAAACACAATTGACTATATGTCGGCTGACCAAATGGAGACACTATTTTGCAACAGGTTTATCATTCATGTTTCAAAGTTTCATGTAAACATAAAACTAATTTACCTAGAAGAACATTTGGTTCCACTTATTAGCAAACATTTCATTATTTTTAAGTGGCATTCTCTGCTGAAGTTATGAACAGTTTAACTTGCAGTAGGTAGCTCTCTGAGCAATTGCAGTTTGGGGAAACTGAGCTGGTGAGGATTAATTGAGGTCAAGATCAAAATAGATTACTGCCATCCTAAAACAACTCTCATTCAAAGCATTTCATAGCCTGAGGTGGTTGTTTACTGCCTCACTTGGGTTAACACTTTGCTTAAAGATTAGAATTATTGCACTGAATTGGGACTCATGAGTCAGTCAGAGGCAGCACGGTGGCGCAACTGGTAGAGCTGCTGCCTCTCAGCGAGCAGGTCCCTGGTTCAAACCCCGGTCCAGGGGCCTTTCTGGGTGGAGTTTGCATGTTCTCTCCGTGCATGTGTGGGTTTTCTCCGGGTGCTCCGGTTTCCTCCCACAGACCAAAAACATGCATGTTAGGCTGATTGGTAACTCTAAAGTTGTCCCTAGGTGTGCATGAGAATGTGAATGGTTGTTTGTCTCATTTGTCTCTATGTGGCCCTGTGATGGACTTGCAACCCGTCCAGGGTGTACCCCGCCCCTCGCACAGTGATTGCTAGACATGGGCACCGGTGAACCCCGTGACCCAAAATGGAATAAACGGGTAAAGATAATGGATGGATGGATGGATGTTAAATATTTTTTTGTTACTCAGTTTACACCTAGTTACTCTTGGTGAGTACTAGTCTTAACAGATTGGATTTTGCAATATTTGCTTCGCATGGAACATTACTTGTGATTATTATAAATTCATAGATATTGACTTCAGTGTCAACAATTATAGACTGTTATGTAACTATTGTGTAATACTTGTAAGTTGATGCTTATTTTTCTTTTTTTTTATTTCAAAATAGGGTCCAGAAAAAAAACCCCAAAATAAAATAAAAAGAACTGACTATTTTGAAATCGAAGAATGGCCTGTTTTCTGTTTTGGTATTTGCACCAATTAAACTATAGCCTTTAAATTGTCAGCGCTGTTCCTCTAAACTATAATAATTCAGAAAATAATTTACAGTAGGTAGACAGTTCCTTAACATTCCTCATAATCCAATTAAAACACACACACACAAAAAAACAAAACAAAAAACCAATAATCAATTATGTCTTTCAGGAACAGGTTTGTGGCCAAATAGATTACTTTGTATGTTTAAAGACAATCCTGGTGAAATATTTGATGAGCGTTAAAACATTTACCCATCATGTGTCCATGTACAAGTTAGAGTGTCGAAAAGCTTTAGCCACAAGGTACAGCCCCAGGTACTCAGTATTTCAGTCAATCAAATTTGAACAATATGATCAAGACATGATATTTGAGCTTAATGATAATCAGGGTAACTGTTTGTTTTATATTTTAGTAACCTTTTTTTTTTTTTTTTTTTTT